ATGAAAAGATTTTGAAAATATCTGTCGATGCCCAGTTGACAGAACACATGCTTTGCAAATCCTGCAGTCAACGGAAACTGGACTTTTACTCCCTTTCCTCGGGAAGATGGAACTCACTATCCTAGTGTGTAACTCTTTCACCCAATGTTTATCTGTGGCATGGGATGGAGCAGCTTCCTCCCAAACAACATGCAACTAATCATCAACATTCTTTAGTGACTGCTCTATACCCATTAAAGTTAATTATCAAGATTATTACTGGACAGAAGCACGACAAATTGGGAAAGGTGATTCAACAAAATAAATATGTGTCACACATAAGCATAAAAACCCAAATATGCCAGGATCAAAACATTCCGATATCCCTCAAGGGTTACGAGGCCACTTCTACAGTGACCTTGACCATGAAACACAATGTTTCTTTACAATGCCTTCTGTGTGTTTGTTCTGTTTATGGCTTCCATGTTGTAAGGATTCACTTTGTTGGCATGTGACGGAGGCACAGGTCGGAATACCCTAAAGTATGCAGTTTAGTTCGTTTCATTCGTACAAAACATCTTTCACTCTGCTTAGTTAGACAAGACATAGATTTGCTTCACCTGATGTATGGTATGGACAGATGATATTGAAAGAGCAAAACATCCATGTGGGAAGAAAACATACATCAAAATACTTATAATCAAGTACATTTTTTTCATCCAATGTATTGATACAATATCACAGAAGTTTATCTATCAAATTACATAAAATAAAAAGGACAATCAAAGAATATTTCAATAATATTTAACCCATGTTCCTACTGATGAAGTATAGGGTTTTACCATTGTTCCTATTAATAAAGTTTAGTGTTTTACCAATATTCCTTTTGATGAAGTATAGTGTTTTACCAATATTCCTACTGATGAAGTATAGTGTTTTATCCGTGTTCCTACTGATGAAGTATAGGATTTTATCCGTGTTCCTACTGATAAAGTTAAGTGTTTTACCCATGTTCCTACTGATGAAGTATAGGATTTTACCCATGTTCCTACTGATGCAGTATAGGGTTTTACCATTGTTCCTATTAATGAAGTTTAGTGTTTTACCAATATTCCTATTGATGAAGTATAGTGTTTTACCAATATTCCTACTGATGAAGTATAGTGTTTTATCCGTGTTCCTACTGATGAAGTATAGGATTTTATCCGTGTTCCTACTGATAAAGTTAAGTGTTTTACCAATGTTCCTACTGATGAAGTATAGGATTTTACCCATGTTCCTACTGATGCAGTATAGGGTTTTACGCATGTTCCTACTGCTGAAGTATAGGGTTTTACCCATGTTCCTATTGATGAAGTATAGGGATTTATCCGTGTTCCTACTGATGAAGTATAGTGTTTAACCAATATTCCTACTGATGAAGTATAGTGTTTTATCCGTGTTCCTACTGATGAAGTAAAGGGTTTTAACCATGTTCCTACTGATGAGGTATAGGGTTTTACCCATGTTCCTACTGATGAAGTATAGGGTTTTATCCGTGTTCCTACTTATGAAGTATAGTGTTTTACCAATATTCCTACTGATAAAGAAATTAGGGTTTTACCCATGTTCCTACTGATGAAGTATAGGGTTTTATCCGTGTTCCTACTGATGAAGTATAGTGTTTTACCAATATTCCTACTGATGAAGTATAGGGTTTTATCCGTGTTCCTGCTGATGACGTATAGGGTTTTATCCGTGTTCCTATTAATGAAGTATAGTGTTTTACCAATATTCCTACTGATGAAGTATAGTGTTTTATCCGTGTTCCTACTGATGAAGTATAGGGTTTTACCCATGTTCCTACTGATGAAGTATAGGGTTTTATCCCTGTTCCTACTGATGAAGTATAGAGTTTTACCAATATTCCTATTGATAAAGTATAGTGTTTTATCAGTGTTCCTACTGATGAAGTATAGTGTTTTATCAGTGTTCCTACTGATGAAGTATAGGGTTTTACCCATGTTCCTACTGATGACGTATAGGGTTTTATCCGTGTTCACACTGATGAAGTTCAGTGTTTTACCCATGTTCCTACTGATGAGGTATAGGGTTTTACCATTGTTCCTACTGATGAAGTATAGGGTTTTATCCCTGTTCCTACTGATGAAGTATAGTGTTTTACCAATATTCCTACTGATGAAGTATAGGGTTTTACCCATGTTCCTACAGATGAAGTATAGTGTTTTATCCGTGTTCTTACTGATGAAGTAAAGGGTTTTAACCATGTTCCTACTGATGAAGTTTAGGGTTTTATCCGTGTTCCTACTGATGAAGTTAGGGGTTTTATCCATGTTCCTACTGATGAAGTAAAGGGTTTTATCCGTGTTCCTACTGATGAAGTAAAGGGTTTTAACCATGTTCCTACTGATGAAGTATAGGGTTTTATCCGTGTTCCTACTGATGAAGTTAAGTATTTTACCCATGTTCCTACTGATGAGGTATAGGGTTTTACCCATGTTCCTATTAATGAAGTTTAGTGTTTTACCCATATTCCTACAGATGAAGTATAGGGCTTTATCCATGTTCCTACTGATGAAGTATCAGGTTTTACCCTTGTTCCTACTGATGAAGGTTAGGGTTTTACCCATGTTCCTACTGATGAAGTATAGGATTTTACCCATGTTCCTACTGATGAAGTATAGGTTTTAACCCATGTTCCTACTGATAAAGTATAGGGTTTTATCAGTATTCCTACTGATGAAGTATAGGGTTTTACCCATGTTCCTACTGATGACGTGAAGGGTTTTATCCGTGTTCACACTGATGAAGTTCAGTGTTTTACCCATGTTCCTACTGATGAGGTATAGGGTTTTACCCATGTTCCTACTGATGAAGTATAGGGTTTTATCCCTGTTCCTACTGATGAAGTATAGTGTTTTACCAATATTCCTACTGATGAAATATAGGGTTTTACCCATGTTCCTACTGATGAAGTATAGTGTTTTATCCGTGTTCTTACTGATGAAGTAAAGGGTTTTAACCATGTTCCTACTGATGAAGTATAGGGTTTTATCCGTGTTCCTACTGATGAAGTTAGGGGTTTTATCCGTGTTCCTTCTGATGAAGTAAAGGGTTTTATCCGTGTTCCTACTGATGAAGTATAGGGTTTTACCCATGTTCCTACTGATGAAGTATAGGGTTTTATCCCTGTTCCTACTGATGAAGTATAGTGTTTTACCAATATTCCTACTGATAAAGTATAGGGTTTTACCCATGTTCCTGCTGATGCAGTATAGGGTTTAACCCATGTTCCTACTGATGAAGTATAGTGTTTTACCATTTTTACTGCTGATGAAGTATGGGGTTTTATCCATGTTTTTGCTGATGAAGTATAGGGTTTTATCCATGTTCCTACTAATGAAGTATAGGGTTTAACCCATGTTCCTACTGATGCAGTATAGGGTTTAACCCATGTTCCTACTGATGAATAAAGAGTTTTATCCATGTTTCTGCTGATGGAGTATAGGGTTTAACCCATGTTCCTACTGATGCGGTATAGGGTTTTACCCATGTTCCTACTGATGCAGTATAGGGTTTAACCCATGTTCCTACTGATGAAGTATAGGGTTTTATCCATGTTTCTGCTGATGAAGTATAGGGTTTAACCCATGTTCCTACTGATTAAGTATAGGGTTTTATCTATGTTCCTGCTGCTTAAGTATAGGGTTTTATCCATGTTCCTACTGATGCAGTATAGGGTTTAACCCATGTTCCTACTGATGAAGTATAGGGTTTTATCCATGTTCCTGCTGCTTAAGTATAGGGTTTTACCCATGTTCCTACTGATGAAGTATAGGGTTTTATCCAATTTTTTGCTGATGTAGTATAGGGTTTTATCCATGTTCCTGCTGATGAAGTATAGGGTTTTATCCATGTTCCTACTGATGAAGTATAGGGTTCTACCCCTGTTCCTACTGATGAAGTATAGGGTTTAACTATGTTCCTACTGATGAAGTATAGGGTTTTATCCATGTTTCTGCTGATGAAGTATAGGGTTTAACCCATGTTCCTACTTATGAAATACTGGGTTTTATCCATGTTTCTGCTGATGAAGTATAGGGTTTTACCCATGTTCCTACTGATGAAGTGTAGGTGAGGTGAAATTGGGTTTAACGTCGCGTCCAAGATTATTGCACTTATATAGCGACGTGCATGCACGTGTATGTGTGTGTGTGGCTGCTTGTACTAGTCCGGACTGATGCCGATTTATAGTGCTAGCTCACTGAGATACCATGCCGCAGTAACAAGGGTAACAACAAGTACAATCTTTTAACGTCTTTTTGTATGACGCGGCCCGGGATCTAACCCTGGACCTTCCGCTCTCCGGGCGGACGCTGATGAAGTATAGGGTTTTATCCATGTTTCTGCTGATGAAGTATAGGGTTTAACCCATGTTCCTACTGATGAAGTATAGGGTTTTATCCATGTTCCTACTGATGCAGTATAGGGTTTAACACATGTTCCTACTGATGAAGTATAGGGTTTTATCCATGCTTCTGCTGATGAAGTATAGGGTTTAACCCATGTTCCTACTGATGCAGTATAGGGTTTTACCCATGTTCCTACTGATGAAGTATAGTGTTTTACCCATGTTCCTATGTTGATATAGTATAGGGTTCATCCATGCTCCAACTGAGCTGAGACAATGTCTGGTCCCCATACAAAATCCCAGGCGTGCCACTCAGAATATCAAATTGTCGGTCCCTAAGCAGAAATTATTTCCTTACATGTGAGCGGGTCCACAAGATATGCATTGCACAGGAACCAATGAATGATGACACACTGTTATTGTATGCGCATGCTACCCTTCTAGCAATCTCATTAAAATCATATATTTTACCTGTCTACAGCACAGAGAATAATGAATCGGACCAGTGGGCTATCAAACAGAACAATGGTAGAGCAATGAATACTTACACAAGTCAACATCATTTGATGGCATGGATTAGTGAGGCAAGTGTAAAAATCACAAGAAACAGTTTGAAATGACTAAATATGAATTTATTATGCATTCGTTGAAAAACCACAATACAGATAATGAGATGTAATTTGGCAAACAAAGGAAGAGCGCAAGTCTCTAGCACATGGGTTCACCTCCTTCCAGATGAATTTGGACACAAAGCAAACTGGGTACTCCAGCCTCTAACACAAATACAAACATAACAAGCATAATTTACTATAAAAATCATATAAAATCAGCTCCCACCCTTTCAGTGATTCACACATTCTCAGTCACACACAAACATGCATTCTACTGGCTGCTGCTGGCTGGCTGGCTGGACGTACATGCAGGTATGGAAATAACATCTACATCCATGAATGTCAAAGTTTAAAGCAAGCCCCTGTCTGAGAGAACACAACCACCATGTCTGAAATGGAAGCATGAGACAATTTCTTGCCATTCTCTTAGTGTATGTGTGCAGATATTTTGCTTTACAACTTGTACACTATAAATGTTCATGAAACATGAAAGACAATGTAGCTACTGAAAATGTGTCTACTGATACCAGCTACTTTCCTTGGACACAGATACTGTTAAAACTGAAAGACTATCAGGAACAAAAAATAATATTTTTGGAAGCATTTCAAAGTTTTCAACTGTATATAAAAAAGGTAAGAATGGCATTATTTTCATTCCATCTGAAATATTCAAAGAGGCTTCTTACTCCCTAAATCTTCAAGGTTTTTGCTGGGTTTACTGACAGCACATTCCAAAAGAAAGCAAAGTATTGTTTTGAAATATTGAAGAGCAACATTTCAATCCTGGAGACCATTCCTGCTTCAGCAGCAACAGCAACAACAGCAACAGCCATCACACAAACAATGGAAGGCCAAAACAAATGTCCTTTTTCTCTCGTGCAACATCATTTTCCAAACCTGTACCAGAATGTTCTTGCATATAAACAGGAGAAACAAATACAATTTGTTTTGGCCTTTGTTGTACACTGTAAACACTATCAGGCAGTATCTGCCATTGTTTGACTCACTGAAACTAGTAGCACCATCCGAAATATACAACATTTCAAAATGACTTCATCTACTTTAGCTGACTGACTTACACTACACAACATAAGTGCCATATAAATGACATTTGGGAATACAGTGTAGAAAAGGGAGGTACTTTGAGGTAACGCAACTTTCAGTAGTGTTGAGAGCAACATGCTTGAACTTGGAATATGTATAACATTTCCTACACAACTTATGGCAGTGAAATAATGTACCATTAAACCAGACCGTGGAACGTGAACAGTGTTATAGGTGGCAAAGTTCATGATGGGTTGTAGTGGTTGAAGTAATACAGGAGGAACTGATCATGGACAACATTGCATCCTTTCAGCCGAGTGCTTTCACTGTTTGTACCAATCATTAAATATCAATACTGTTGTACCAAAACAATATTTTCCAAAATTAACAAAACCAATCTACAGGCCTAAACAATTAATTTCCTGTATGGATAAAAAACTGGGTGAAAAATCCAAAATACTTGATAACTGCACCTAAAAGCCTAAACATGTACCAGTGTGTGAAACTAAAAGCTTTTCAAAACTAGGCTCTGCTTACAGAGACCATGCAGCTGGGCACCCCCAACAACTGTTCGGTAACCTGTCACTGACAGAATCAAATCAGGATTACAATAATCCATTGTTCCACATAATGAAAAGAAAATACTTCAATGTTACCTATTCCCAGGTAGCAAAAGGTATTCTGAAACCATACAGTGCCATACATACATATATCCAGGACTTGGCAACACAAACCATCTCCAGGCACCTGCATCAACAGGAATCCATCAATCTCACTGTATATTTCAACAACAAATCATTAAGCTATCAACACAAAAACATGAAGAATTTGATCCCAGTACATTCTGCACAGCACCATGATGAGACTAAAGCAATGTGTTCTTTCTAATCATGGCTATATTCAACCATTCTATATGAACAAGAACAGTCACAAACAAGCCTGCTTATGGCTTGCAAGCGTTAACATGTTAGTCACAATAGGGACACTGGTCTTTCTTCCCCATCAACTACACAACCACCATACTTCTACTTTTCAGTAGAAGCAGAACGGCCAGACATGTTAAATTCAGGGGCACACCTTCAGCGGCCCTGAAACAATGTCAACAAGCTAATTAACGCCTTTTATGGATACAAAATAACTATATAGGACAAGGGTTTGGAGTTAATAAGAGCTCTAGCCATTGAATATATCCCAATTGTGTGTACTGTATTGTTTGCTTGCCAACAAGGTCATGGTGAAGTTACTATCTAAAGGCTATCATTTAGTCAGTGTACATGAGGTTAAAGACGTTCCTCCTGTGGTGTGTGATGACAATATAGGTACAAGAGCAGCAGGGTAGACACCCCATCACTAGCCCTACTTCTTGCACTACTACTACAAGTACCTCCGCACTGTGTCACACATGTAGACTTCACTGTTGTCACAAACCTGGCATTATCAAGCATAATTCTCGGCATTAAATGAAGATAATTCGCTCCGACATAATACCTTTCTGCATGAAGATCTGACAAACCCTCTCTTGGAGGTCACCTCAAGTTAATTCTTTGACCACCTAAGCTAAATAAAGGATGTTTGGGCTCTGGCTTGGTTTCATATTTTTTACCACCTCAATCTGTAAATTTCAAGTTTAGCTGTAAAAGTCCACTCAACAGAAATATTCACTCTAAACCTTTGTGTGTGTAGATGTTATGGCACACAGAATGACAGAGGAAAATAAAACTACACAACATATATATCAGCTCAGCCTACAATAGTTTCATTGTGGTTGTTTATGAAATTCAAAATCAGATAAGCTGCTCTGATTGCTTAACTCACTTGGACTAGAAAGTTCACCTGAAACTCCTATAAAGAGTTTTCAGATCTTCACTTACAGAGGAATTGTATCAGAAGTTAAACTCTGATCTTAATGAGATTGCACTACAATATTCTGTTAATGAAATGCAAATTTATATCAATGCAATAAATGTAGTAGATGTGATGAAATATTCATCATTGAACCCAGAAGTAGGCCATATGAAAAGCCAATAAAATCTTGCATCATACCCCTAAACCCTTCATATCAACAATCTCACATGTTTTGCGTAAATACAGAGTTTTTCTATAGAATTATCTTAATAATATTTGGTTATGATGAAGGTATACTAATGATGAGAACTCAGTGTTTCTAGAGGTACATAGATCCGATACTGCTGCAAAGTGATGACCATGTGAATGGGCCTTGACAAAGTAACTCAATCAAAATCTTGATCGGTATTGAAACCATCTAAGCACAACGTATGACAAAGTATACATGTTTATTGTAAGATTCTGATCTTGGCGAGTCCTCAATCTGAGATCCAGTTTCATGGGAGGAAAACATCTACAGTTGTGAACTTCTTGTTCTACTGAGGGCAGACTACACAGTCCTGATGGTTCTACCTGGACCTTTAAAGTTAAGAACAGGCATTTCTTTCCTGAAAGTTTCTTCAATGAGACAGTAAGGTCATTTTAGTGTGAAGATTTGCTTGAACTTACTATTTGATAAATTAACAAAAAAACTCAAAACATGTGTGTTCCTTATTTGTTTCCCTCAGTGTATATAATGCAAGATCTTGCACATGATAGCATATATTACATCTACATTTAATGCAGTTTCAAGACAATTTGACAATGGTATAAGGATCAAAACTGAAACATCTCTGTAATAGTATTTGTTGTCCATAAATTGTGTCTACTTTGTCATCTGCTAACATCTACAAAATGCCTATCAAACAGTTCTTCCTAGAACATATCACACCTTTAGACATATGTGTACAAAGTAGGTGATCCAGAGGGAACCTCCCTGGGGTGCAAAACCGTGTTGCTAACAAGCCATGTTGGACCTAATACCTCCAGAGATCAATTCGAAAAATATGTTTCAAGAGTAATAGGAATCATTTATCTACTGAACGGCTAAACAATGATAAGCTAGTAGAAAGCACCTCCATGTGAAATGGTATGTTATTGTGAGGTAGTGTTCACTGGAAGTTCAAAAAGAGGGGAATGCCCAACAGAGACATGACAATCGCAGCCTACAGTGTATTCTATTTTTTCATTGTTCAATTTTATACAACTGTGTTTGGCATATTTGTTGATGTGACCAAATGATATGCAATAGAACCATGGTAACTGAAAAATTAATTGTGTGTGACCAGGTTTTCTTCAGATTTTCAAATTAAAATATTAGTATAGAAATGGTAGTGAGCTCCTGGTCGAAGTATGGAATTGTTTAGGATATATATTCAGGAAGTAAAGGAGTCTGTGTTATATCACCAACATTCTGATTTCAGCTCTTTGAGCTTAAACAGACATGTAATATGTTTTCTTTTTCTTACTATCCAGTACACAACACAAGATGTTCAAGTCATAATCCCTTTACTCTTTCCCCAACCAACCAAGAATAGGAAACATATTAATATAAGCATAAATTCACAGAACTTCATCGTTTGCGAGACAATGCCAATTTGAAATTTGATACATATACAAACAAATAAATAAATATAAGGCAACACGGTGACAACATAAATAAGACCTTCCTAGAAAGACAAAAATGTCCAGTACATACATGGGACTCACAACAGTGCAAAAAGAGTTATCTCCCCTGCACTATGGCAAACTGAGCAAAGCAACCCATTGATATAATTAGTATTCCTAGGAGAGACAAAAATTTGAGCACACTGTTTAAAACTGCTGCCTTTTGTAGTAGCGGACAGTTACAGAAACAACGAAGGCACTGCTAGGTCACAAATAAATCACAATGCATGCAGAAGGCTATGTGTCTCCTAAGGAACCGGTACTCATTTTGCGTTCTCGCATTGAAAATTTCCTATCTTTGACCAAAGGAGTGGAGTTTTTACGAGTACACACACTGACACTTCGCCGAAGACTGTCCTCGCGAGACTGTGCATGCTCGATACCTGCTTGCTTCACCGCATGCGTGGCAAGCATGTCGATTGTTGCATATGCAATTGGTGTGGTGGGCACAGTTTTCTTTGGCTTTCTCTTAGACTCTGTTGGAGATGCTGCAGCACATGCTGTGGACAAGTCTATCTCTGCATAATTTAATTGGGGATTCACTTGCTCTGGTGGCATGGGGGACATTGGCACACGTGGGGACAGAGGGGGCGAGGCACTCCTGGTACATGAGGGGGAGTGTCCACTACTGGAGTGCAGGTCATCTTGCATGTCTCCTTCAACAAGGGAAGTGTCTCTATCACTGTTAGCTTTCCTATCAGTACTCAATCTGTCTATTTCAGTGTTGACTGTTTCTTTCTCTGGACTCTCAGAATTTTTATCACTACAGTGCAAAACCATATCAGTATCATGCTTGTCTGGGGCTTGTCCAACCTTGTCCCTTTCAGGACTTAATTGATTTTTGTCACCTTTCAGATTGTTTCTTGGGCTATGTAAATGCTCTTTTTCACTGTTTAATCTATCTCTTTCACTATTCAACCTGTTTCTCTCACCAGTCACTTTCTCTCGTTCACTGCTTCGCCTATCTCTTTCACTGATCAGCTTCTCTCGGAACGTCCTCTCAGGAGAGACTTCATGATCAGACACATGCTTATGGCTAAACACAGAATCCTTCGCACCTGTTGTCATATCCACATTCATGTAGGCATTGTACTCTTCCCCATGTGACGAGTTGGACATGGTACTTTCAAAACTGAAGACTGTTCCAGAAGACGGAGAGTAGGGCGTTTGGGGACTGGATGTACAGCTCTCGCTTGCTGTGTGTCGCCGCTCCACAAACTGGTAGTCTCTGCCTGACCTGGGTCGCAGTATGGTGGAGGCGGGGCTACTCCGTACAGTGTCTTCACTGCGAATACTGTGATTGTCACTACTCTCATGGGAAGAAACAGATATGGCATCCAGTTTGTCATTGAGATCATCCACAGAGACAACCAGAGCACTATAGTGTAAATTCTGGGTGTCACAACATTTGGCACTGTGAGGGGACGAACCACTGGCGGTTTCTGCAACAGTAACTGTAGAGTAAGGTCATAGAATATTTCATCTACATTAAGAGCACTTTTTGTAAACATTGAAATAATTTTTTACCTGATACATAAACGCAATTTCATCATACTTGCAACTGTAATGATTACATAAATATCACAACTAACAATTGAATTACACATGCCATTAACATGCCAAATAATTATCCAACGCACCAAGAAAGCAGAGCATGAACAAACATGTAAATGAAAAATTATATAATATTATTACATAATAACATCCCATGAACATGGACTATTTACATGAGGATGTCTTCTAACTTTCAATTTGATAATGCAAATACATATATAAGACACTAAAGAAGTTATAAAGAAGCAATCATATCAACCCATTTGAACCAATGATGCTACAAGTGATATTGAGGAAGTGAGCTGCAGAGGTGTGTTCATGCAAAAGTGTTTAGTAAGCAGGAAAACAGGCATACATGCTGTCAGGGCAAGCTTATCCTATTATGTATATAATCTTAATTGAAAATCTGTACTTGTAAAACTAGCAAGACTAGCTCAAAGTATCTAAGAATCATAATTCTAATAAAGTAAAACAAGTAACGTTTTTTTCCGGTATGAGGCGTACACATGAAGCAGTGTGTTAGTGGTGTACATGTTGCAGCTACATGCAAACAATGCTGTAACATGCACTGCTAGCTAGTTGGACGTGAGATAAGTAAGAAGTTACTATTTTAGTCAGTCTAACAGGAAGATACTTATCGGACACTCATCAACCAATACACAATCTAGAGGTTTTTCTCAAGGCCTGTGTCACTGCATCCTGTCATATGCAAACTCTCTTAGTAGACAACACGGAAACACATCACACAGTCAGGTTATAACAGAACACATGACATACAGATTAAACTACAAGACAAACATAGCCTGTCTTTCTACTTGATGCCTTAATGGAACTCGGATTATTGATGTGCTTTTCTATCAGTCCTTCTTGCAATAATGTCTACATATTATAGAGCTCTCTCCAAATCTCTGTACATATGGAATAAAGTTAGTTGCAATTAAGTGAAAAAAAGGCCAATAAAAGTATAAAATACATGAAAAACTGCAGACTACTATGAAGCTTCTGTGCGAGAGCAACATGATGATGCAATGGACAATTACTGTCATTCTCATGGCAAGCAGTGCACTGAGATTTGGAGAGGCAGTGGGCTAGCAACAGAAAGAAGTGGCAGGCTCCAAATACCAAGCTATCAGCATTCCAAACAATGCAAACCCTCATGCTGCACATACCTGCAGAGTTCAGGTTACTACGAGGGACCCAGATTTTCCCATTCTCATCCTCCACCGGTGGACAAATTCGGAGTGTTGCACGGGCTTTGTCCTTCTGGCCTGCAGGGTTTAGGGCAAAAGAGTCACTGGTGCTGGATGATCTTTTACTTGGGAGTTCTTTCATCTCTACATAGATTGCATCAGAATCCATCCCTCTGGGTGATAACTGTGATTCTATCACCGGAGACAAAGTTGAAGGGTATGGCTTTGTCTTGGGTGGGATAAATGGAGGCAGTGATGTAACATGGCGAGCAATCTCTGCTGCTTTTTCACTGGCACTGAGTTGTTTCTTAACAGGAAGTGGCAAACTCATTTTACTCTTCAGTTCTGACAAACATGCATAGTTTCCTTTCTCTTCCATTCCTAGCCTTGAACTACCACCATTCTGTAATAGTTCAATCAACTTTTCATCATCTGTTTTGGAGGATTCTGTCAATTGAAGGTAAGGATTTGTCAACTGAAGTTGTTGCTGTACATGCAGCACAGTCAAGACTCTCATCTCGGGTTTGGTTTCTTCTACCTTAAGAAGGGGTTCTGTGATGTTTCTCTTCAACCCTTGACAGTTACTGGACTTACTGATGATTTCCACAGGGGCACCAGGCTTATCATCAAGAGATAGACTTTTACTACCTCTGTATTCCCTGGCTCTGTTCCTTTCAGGTGGAAGAGGAGGTGGCAGGTCTTTGGGGGAAGGTGGCATTTTGATTTCAGTGTTAGCCTCCTGGTAGCTGAGTCTGTTGGGGAAGCTTGATGAACGCTGTCTGCCAACCTTTATGTGAGGAACAGTTTCTGGCAGTTCAGGCTTACTCTGTTCTCCTTGGTCTGACTGACTACGTTCTAGGTAACTGGCTCGACTTCTTGCCCCTGTCAGGTTTTCTTGACTTTGAGATGCTGCTTTTTGGTCTCTGGAGCTTCTCCTCATAAATCTGGCAAGAAAGCCACCACCTTCTTTTGGTGTCTCTTGGGATGGTGTATTTTCAGCTGCCTGGCTCGTATTAGAGCTGATGTTGGATTTTGATGGTGTCTTCTTTTGATCTGATTGTCTCTTTTGGAAATTGAGCAAATTTGGAAAAGGCATTGCAGGTCTGGTCACCTCACTATTAGTATTCTGATTCAAACTGTCCCCTCCTGGTGTTGAAGATACATATGTCTGGAGTGTCTGCAGGTTTTGCAGGACTTGAGAATTTCTGTTACTCTGTAATCCAGTCATCTCCATGTAGTTGCTTTCTTGCCTTGGCTGTCGCATGTAAGATGCAGCTTCATCTATCGGCTCGGTTATTCTCAATTCAACTGAAGGTCTGGGACTAGAGGAATATCCATAAAGGTCACTTTCAGATGATGATGAGTCTGAAATTCTTAACTTCGGACATTCAGGTTCAAACTGCCCCATTTCCATATATTGACTAGAATGTTCTGTGTATCTCCCTCCCTGAGCACCAATTATCTGTGCTCGAGATGTGACACTGGTTCTGTGTGAATCAATGCCAACCCCAAAAGGGTGTCCTTCTGTTGGTGCCTTATGCTCTTCTTGAAATCCCCCCATAAGTAGGTAGGAATCTTGTGGTCCAACTGATGATGTAGAAGAGGGTTTTGAAGTCTGGAAAACTATCATTGGAGCATTGTCATATCCATGCAGCTTACCCTGAGACCCAACAGACCGACTCCTATCTCTGGAAGGAAGAGCTGGTGGTGTGAGACTCCCACCAGGGTGAGCGGCTACAACAGTAGACGTTTTTGACAGATTCTTTCTCAACAATGCTGGCCCTTTGGGTGGCAGCTCAGGTGGTGGAGTATTTTCCTTTTTTATGCATTCATTGGCATATATTGGCTCTCTCTGCCACTGAGGACCCCTCTCCTCCTCTTCCTCCCACTGGCTACTTTTTAAAGCAATACGGGACTCACTGGACGACCTTGCTCCCAGTTTCTGTTTGATAGCTTGTGTATGAGGAGAATTCTCCTTGTTGAACACAGACACATTGCTCAAGCTGCTGCTGCAGGCACTGGAAACGACAAGCTTGTCTCCGCTTCCTGGAACACATACATGACTGGACTTGTCATCTTCATCATATTTAGACAGGTTTACATAGGGGAGTGGAGCAAGAAGTTTAGAATGAGAAGGGATTTCTCTCAGCTTGCTTAACAAATTAGGACTGAGACAGTTGGCTTCCATGTTCTGTTTTTCGGATCTTGTGGTTCTGAGCTGTGCTACTTCTGTGTTACACTTCTTGGTGTCTACCCACAAGTCTTTCTTGGTCTTCTGAGGTAGACTGGAAGATTTCTCTAATATGATTGTAGGAGCTTTGGTTCCTTTAAGGTCAACAGTTTTAGTCTCATCATCAAATTTACACACTTGCAAAATTTCATCCAACAGAGTGATTTCTCTTTGCAAGGAACTCTCTTCTCTTTGAAGTTTCTGAAGGGCTTCTTTCCTTTTAGTCCTGTCATTTGCCATTCTTATTTCATCTTCAATGACACTAAGTTGGTAGTTTCCCTGGCTTCCCAGACTTCTTGAGTACCCATGATAATCTCCTCTGCCTTGAAGCTTGAACAGATCTTTTGCAGAGCAGGCTGTGGACAGCCCGGTGACATACGGTTGAGAGCTGTTCTCATATGGAAGGGAGGAGTAGGAAGCACCATGAGAACATACACGAGATGTGTCAGAACCTCTACCTAGGAGAGCAGAACATGATACGCAGGACTTAGCACTGTCTCTTTCTGACTTCTGACCTACAGCTTGGGACACAACATTTGCTTCAACTTTACGAATTCGTTTAGGGGGGACATCATATACTGCCAACAGTCTTTGTCGTTCTAGATTTTCAATGCTCATTAACTTTGACTTCTCTGCTAAGGCTCCCATCCTCCTGTAGTCCATGACACTTATGGAGTGTCGCTTCTGCCACCCCCAGTCCTCCTGATTCCGCATATCGCCACAGCAACCCAGCATGCTGGGTGGCAGGCCATGGTTGCCACTTCCGAAAGAAGATCCCACAGAGTCAAAAGCACCAGGGATCTGGGAGCCTGTGGTGGAATATAAATGTCCCCATCACATCATTGCCATATGTGCCCTCTTTTCATCACAACATCAACATACACAACAATATGTCATCAATTTATAAAGCTAGGAAACTCAAACAATTCCACTACTGAAAGAGGACTACTGACTTGAGATAAAGCAGACCTAATGTCACCACTGCTTCCTTGGCCTAACATGTTCTCTATGCTACAAACTTAAATACAAGCACAAACTATCTACACAGGTAGTAGATCTAATATTTGATTAAATGCTACCTACATCATTGTACATATTCATAAAAAGAGGAATACTTGCTTCTTATAGCCCATATTTGAATCATAGTTCAGTAATTTATCACAAGCATTTCACAGTTCCTGCCTCACAGTCACTGTGTACAGAAAATCCATGTTAGAAATGGTCTTTAGCAGCCCATGCTTGTCTAAAGAGGTGACATTGCTTGTTGTAAGAAGTGACTAATGGGATAGGGTGGTCAGACTTGCTGACTTGGTTGATGCATGTCATGGTATCCCAGTAATGTAGATCCATGCTCATGATGTGAATCACTGAATTGTCTGGTCCAGACTTGATTATTGACAGACATAACTATGGGTTTCAATTAGAGGAACTAGGCTCTCTGCAAACATTTGCAAAACAGTGTCACAGTACTATTGTTCACCTAATTATATATTACATTCACTTCAATAGTTTAACATGTTTCCAAAGTAGTGACTTGGTTGGGATTCCTTCCTGTCAGTACCAAATTTTTATTATTTTTATAACTTTAAACCGTAACTTATCATTACTTAATATAACTTAAAACCTTAATTAGCACTACTTAACATAACTTTAAACCGTAACTTATCATTACTTAATATAACTTAAAACCTTAATTAGCACTACTTAACATAACTTTAACCGTAACTTATCATTACTTAATATAACTTAAAACCTTAATTAGCACTACTTAACATAACTTTAAACCGTAACTTATCATTACTTAATATAACTTAAAACCTTAACTTAGCACTACTTAACATAACTTTAAACCGTAACTTATCATTACTTAATATAACTTAAAACCTTAATTAGCACTACTTAACATAACTTTAAACCGTAACTTATCATTACTTAATATAACTTAAAACCTTAATTAGCACTACTTAACATAACTTTAAACCGTAACTTATCATTCCTAATATAACTTAAAACCTTAACTAAGCACTACTTAACATAACTTTAAACCGCAACTTATCATTACTTAATTAGGAGATAAACCTACTGTGTTTTGAAATTCAATATAGTCCCACTGTAGAATAGATACCTCTTTGTTATAATTTTGAACCAAGCGCTTTAGTTTGATAAGCTGTCACTTCAGTTGGGACATTGTTTTCATGGACTTTCGAAGGGGAGTGTTTTCTGATGGACTTTCAATTCCCCTCCTGACAAATTCTAACGGTGGTGGTTGACGGAGATGCAACGAATATCGATCAGAAAAGGTTTGTAAACAACATGTTGTCATGAATAAAGTTTTTATAATGTTATATTTTACTTTCATTGTCTGTTGTTTCAATGAGGAAATAGCTTTAATTGTTCCCGTTCTGGTCACCATAGAACATTTCTCTAACAGTTTCATAAACATTTCATTTGTATGCAAAAGATATGCCTTCGTTAAATCTTTTAATGTCATCATCAAAGCAGTCAGGATTGCGGCCTAGAACGCCCCAAACATCCGATATCAAACTACCGTATTTCCACTGTTTGACACTATACGCCGTCTATTAATTTTGCAAGATCCCTTGACTCGGCGTGTATTAGAGACCTGGCTGGTATTAGAGACCCAGCGTGTATTAGAGGAAATATAGATACGTTTTACAGTTCATATGGGAGTGATCGATCGGCAGCCATTTTCTGTGAACCGATATGTAGGCTATCTATGTATTCATACGCACGTTTTTTTTGTGAAAAGGCTTAATATATTTGAAAGGGGTTTCCGTAGCAAAAAGGAAACCTCTTTTTAACCAATCAGAATCAAGCATTCATCAATGTCATGGTAGAATATAACTTAAAACCTTAACTTAACATAACATAATATAACTTAAAACCTTTACTTAACATTACTTAATATAACTTTAAACCCTAATGTAACATAACTTATAATTAATAACTACAGATTATTTGAAAACATAGGCACACATCACCTCTTTGCAGTAGAGTTTTTCCTATACAGAAACAGAACCTACCATAACCTGAGTGTAATGTTATGAAATGCTATACTGGTATGAGGTACATGTAACTGTATGTCTAGGCACTGGTTGCTAGTGCCCTGCCTGCTGCAGTGGTGAACAGCCTGACTCTGTCCTCCTCCTCCATGCTAGTTACACGGTCTTTATCTTGACTGCACCAAATGGTTGTGTTTTGACATAATGGATAATGTGAGCCTAAACATCCAATAAAGAAGACACTGGGTCCTTGTTTGCACTTCCCATCAACAGTGATGAGGCAAGGTGCTGCTTTAACTCCAAGTCTTTCATCACTAGGTATTTGCCTACTTAGAAACATAAACTGTTATGATAAAACATCTGTCCTCCCCACACCGAGATAAGAGTACAGGTTTGCCCACATCCCAACCCTACCACAATACACAACAGGGGGAATTCATTACCATTCAAGCATGTTAACACAGATCAACACAAAAAAACACCAGGTGCCCAAAATATTATAAACAGGAGTAAATAGGCAATCAGACTCTCCATTTGAAACCTGTCCCACAACTCAAAACAACCTTATATGTTTTCCACAATCTGCAAGTCCATGCCTATCATGTTACAGGATGTTGGACTTTTTCTTCCTGTTGGCAAACGAGGCTGCCCAGTACTGTTTCTGCAGACTGAAAGCTGACAATGGGACTAATTGGAACCAACAATAACCTGAGGTGTGAGCTCTCTTGGGAACTCATTTTCTTCCAAGGAGAATGTTTCCCCATCCAAGATGAGAGATTAACATAATTGACGTGACAGAGGTGTAATGGCCTAAACAAACAAATTGTCAACCAGTTAATTCGCTAATGCATGAAATCATAATTTTAATTATTAATAGGAATTTCAAACAATGATCTATGCTAGTCACTAATGAGGGAAAATCCGTACAGTTTGTACAGCTGTTCCAATTATTTTCCTATAAATTGGTATCCAAATATTCTGAAATTGAATGAATAAAGACAATTTAATAAGAAAATGTCTAAGACATTACCATGAGAAAAAACGTTGTGTGTTCATCCAAGCCTCATTTGCCTTGAATGTAACAACTTAGATCTAAGCCTTGACAGCTGTTCACTGCAAGATCTGAGCCTATCTTGTCCTGGTTGAAACAGATGAGTGCCTCTCCAATGGCCTCCATAGAAAGGGAGCCGAGAGTGCCTGACTGCAGTAACTCAACACTGAGGTAACAGGACGCTGAAGGAGACCCCCCCTCCCCCTTGAAACAAATGCAGAGCCAGTATTAACTGTAGCCCACTATAAATACTGGCTACTCGTATATGATAGATAGGTTCATATGTCAGCTTCTTTCATCATTGTCTACTACTGGATCCCTGATACGGTGATTTCCTCTACTTTAAACTAAAACAATGGTCCTATCATACTGTTTTATATTCTGTTAGTGTTCTGTGCAAATAATTATGAACCACAATTATGTTATTTACGTGTAAAATATTCAAATGTTTGTTGCTAGTAGAATGTAAGTTCCATCACCATTCAATACAAAACTGTTAATTCAATGCTGATTTCACATGACGTTAACAATGAGACATTACTAGCCGTAACTTGTTATCACAATTGCAAAGCTCTACAAGCAGATATCGCTTAAGCTGAAAGAAGAGAGAGAGCAGCTGAAATTGATGCCTTGTCTGAAGAAACGAGACAGCCACTGCTCCATACCAGGACATGGGTGAGACAGGGACAGAGAGAAATGTATAGCCTTCTGGTGAAATCAATGCTCACAGCACACAGCCAGACTTGCAATATAACACTTCAGAACTCAGTGAAGTTAGTCTGGTGGAAATCTGGTGAATATGATTACAAAGTATGAAATCAAATTGAAAATGGATAAACAATATACTCACTTCTTTTGTTTATGTTACTATGGCAACTGGGCAGTTTTCCCTGACTGGCCTGTTGTACAATGCTGGCAATTTCATCAGCCTGCTCAGACAGAGCCACATGGATTCCCATTCCTGGAAAACAACAAAGCAGTTTCCATCACTGTAACGTTGGAACTACAACAGATACTCTGTGGAAGTAATTGAGACATGTAAGATAAGCATGAAAACTATAGTATAAAGACTCTCTTCGTCCACAGTGTCCCTACATCCTTGCCCACATCTGTCCCACACTGTAGGACTCCCTTCACTCACAGTGTGCCTACATCCTTGCCCACATCTGTCCCACCCTGTAGGACTCCCTTCACTCACAGTGTGCCTACATCCTTGCCCACATCTGTCCCACCCTGTAGGACTCCCTTCACTCACAGTGTGCCTTCTTAGTGCCTGTAATTAGTCATACATCATAATCACAGACTATTAACAGATCCTATTGTCAGCCCTTAATATTTAATGTGGCTTTGTGCGGTGACTGACTTAAACTGTGGCAGTGCTATCTGAATGGTCGAACAAACAAAGACACTGGTAATCGGTAATGAGAGGCAGGATTAGTCCGACAGCACACTAGCAGTTCCCCTCTCAAGTCCATCAAGACATACAGCATCACATTGCCTTTTTACTACTCTTCCACACCATTAAATTTCAAGTCTGAACCATAATTTGTTTCTGAAATATTACACCAAGATATTTTTTCTTAATGGTGAATATTAAAGTGCATTAGTACCAGACCCAATTACAAGCTGCTGTCCAGGTGTTGACATAATAGAGAAGCTTGTGGCCGTACAGACCCCTACAGAAGGCCACCAGGGCGTGGGAAAGTTGGCATTTGTAAGCCATGTGGATGGGGTGTATCTTGTCACCTCTGCTGTTTACAGTGAACTGTAAGCCATGTGGATGGGGTGTATCTTGTCACCTCTGCTGTTTACAGTGAACTGTTAGCCACATGGATGGGGTGTATCTTGCCACCTTTGCTGTTTACAGTGAACTGTAAGCCATGTGGATGGGGTGTATCTTGTCACCTCTGCTGTTTACAGTGAACTGTTAGCCACATGGATGGGGTGTATCTTGTCACCTCTGCTGTTTACAGTGAACTGTAAGCCATGTGGATGGAGTGTGTCTTGCCACCTCTGCTGTTTACAGTGAACTGTAAGCCATGTGGATGGAGCATGTCTTGCCACCTCTACTGTTTACAGTGAACTGTTAGCCACATGGATGGGGTGTATCTTGTCACCTCTGCTGTTTACAGTGAACTGTTAGCCACATGGATGGAGTGTATCTTGCCACCTTTGCTATTTACAGTGAACTGTAAGCCATGTGGATGGAGTGTGTCTTGCCACCTTTGCTGTTTACAGTGAACTGTAAGCCATGTGGATGGAGTATGTCTTGTCACCTTTGCTGTTTACAGTGAACTGTAAGCCACATGGATGGAGTGTGTCTTGCCACCTTTGCTGTTTACAGTGAACTGTAAGCCACATGGATGGAGCGTATCTTGTCACCTCTGCTGTTTACAGTGAACTGTAAGCCACATGGATGGAGTGTATCTTGTCACCTCTGCTGTTTACAGTGAACTGTAAGCCACATGGATGGAGCGTATCTTGCCACCTCTGCTGTTTACAGTGAACTGTAAGCCACATGGATGGAGCGTATCTTGTCACCTCTGCTGTTTACAGTGAACTGTAAGCCACATGGATGGAGTGTATCTTGTCACCTCTGCTGTTTACAGTGAACTGTAAGCCACATGGATGGAGCGTATCTTGCCACCTCTGCTGTTTACAGTGAACTGTAAGCCACATGGATGGAGTGTATCTTGTCACCTCTGCTGTTTACAGTGAACTGTTAGCCATGTGGATGGAGTGTGTCTTGCCACCTCTGCTGTTTACAGTGAACTGTAAGCCACATGGATGGAGCATGTCTTGCCACCTTTGCTGTTTACAGTGAACTGTAAGCCATAAATGAGGTGCTTCAATTTTTTTCTGTTGGTTTACAAATTTTGGTTTGTTCTTACAATGTTCATTGGTCAAAATAAAAACATAGTCTTTAAATGAAAATGCCAGTGGTCGAAATAAATTGTTACAAAAATAAGTCACATGCAGTGCAGGACTGAAGCATGTACTTAATACCATGATGGTATAAATTTGAAGTGAACCCTGCAATAGATTACAAACACAAGTCCAGATATACAATGACCACTTTTCATAAGCCGTAATAACAGGATTAAATTGCGTACTTCAGACTTGGAATATCTTGTGTTTCATGCTCACAGTAAATTGTAGGCGTGTATAACGTTATAATATGAACCCTTTACCCCCCTCTACACAGATGTACTTCCTGAAAACTATACTCAAGAAAATATGGTAGGTGACCAAACCAGTATATTTATGACCCTGGTCTGCACTCATGCGATACATGACTGTGGCTATTTTCACACCTACACAACTGCGGAAAACACTTACTTATGAGTTATTTCATATTTTGAATGAATCTTCTTTTCAAAACAAAATAATTTGAGTGATATTTCTTGTTAACTTATTTCGTATTTTATTTTTAGACCATTAAAGTCTGCAGTATTAAAAAAATATCAGAAAGGTCACTTAAACTGTATTTTATTTTGCTATTTCTCATGTCGGCAGATCTGTAAACCAACAACAACAAAATTAATCGCCAAATGCATATCAATATGTGAAACCTTGCAGCTATATCGAAAGTTGTGATAACCTGGGATATAATATAGGCACATTTCAGAGTATTTTCAAAACAATGAATATTTGATGTATTATTGATCAGCCATTATTACAGAGTGTTAATGTTTTCTCTGCTGGGATAGAGGAATTTTGTATTGTCGATGTCAATTGCTCCATGTAATATAAAATGAAAAGCTTTCTAGACAAAATGCCCTCTTGTAATTATGCTATTTAAACAATGAAGGTTCAATGGTTGGTTTTATCTCTTTTGCGGTTACTCAAAACTGGATTCAAGATCGGAAGCCACACAGTGGGTTTGGAGGTCGAAGAAATTCCACATTTTATCATACCATTGACAAGTTGAGATGGGTATTAAATCGAACAATGCAGCTTCGATGTATTGTTGCTGTGATTTTATTATATGTGAGTAAACTGCTAGATTTATATACATTTGTTTTTCACAACTAAAGCAAAATGCAGAATGGATGCAATCACATGCTGCTGGATACAAAGTATCATGTACATAATAGTTTTACAAATACATGTACTGAGACTGGGAATTTAATTTCATCACTTCATTTGGATTATCACACATTTTAGGAAAATTCTTGATGAATTTTTGGGAGCCAAGGGCGCAGTGCAACCGAGATATGGGAACAAGGCTTCCCAGTAGCAGCCAGTGGGTTCAGGTGTTTGTGGTACATACTGACTGCTTAACTCCAGACCAGTGTAGGAAGAGTACTGCCTTCAGTTGGACAAGCCCTCACAGGAAAGTGAAGCATCAGAATCCACAGGATATTCATGTACGAAGGGTAACCTTTTTCTGTATACGTGAGTGAATGAGGTTAACACTACTACTAACAGATTTTCAGCTAAATGATAACATGAGGAAAGCCGATTGCAAGTCATAACATCTTAAACTTCAATGATACACATCCACACAGGTATGATGCTTTCAGGCCAAGAACATGTTGGGCAACTTGAATGATGGGCGCAACTCAGGACAGCAAACTAGGGCTCCACAGATCCCTGAGTCAATCATGCAAATGCCTTGGTAACTACACTTGTGACTTTAAGCACAGCAATTACTTAACAAGCATGGTACATTTCAAGCAGAATAGGGTCACATTGGAGATTCTCTTATGGACTATCAGACTAAGAACAAACATATATTTATGATTTTATATAGGAATAGTTTAATTGTGTGGAATATGGCCCTTGCAAATGTATGTATGCTATCAGCAGCCTTTCAAGCACTGTCAAGATACTTTATCCTCACTACACCACGTAATAGTGTGCAAAAGCTCTGATTATGTATTGAAAATAGTGTTAGGCCAAAATTTGAGACTGAACATTACAGTGTCTAAAGAGATCCCCTCCCCTGTGTGCTACTGATTGATTTCTCAACAGGATAACAAGAAGGCAGAAATAATTGGTATCAATGTCTGTTTAATTCTCAGTTTTATGCTCAGTGTTACCAATAATCTGCACCTCAGATAAAGATTATTCTGTGTCAGAACTAGAAAAAAGTTTGCCAAACATGCAATGAAGGAAGCAGCCTCACTAGCAACTCTCTGAACTCACCAAAACTCAAAACATATCCTCAGCCTATACTCACTTTGACCTTTGTGTTACATTAAACATACCTTCATCTTCTTCCAAATGTATTACCCAGGTACAAGCTGTACATCTCGAGTTCCGTACAAAATGTCCAATTGAGAATTGTTTTACTGGAGCCATGGCAAAAACTCTTAGATGCATGCAAAAAATGATATGATCATGCATACACTGAAGTTGACAGAAGCTTTAACTTTACTCAAACAAATAAAAGTCAGAAGGAGTGTGTGCATAGACAGAAAGAAAAGGGAACATTTGGTGACTTATTGTGTAACAATGGAGTTTGATTGTTATTGTCCTAAAAAGATATATAACGTGACTAACCACAGGTTCGGTTAGTCCCGTGGGTACCCGGGTCCTACTCAGGACTCATCCGACCTGAGTACCCCATCCCTGCCCTACCTTCCCACCTTCACATGCATCCTGAATCACTTGGCAGTCAGCTGGTCACAGCTATATCTGTTAATATCCAAGTTGGATTCCGTTTAGACACAATTGAGGGATGATACTTTAATGCAACAAGTTGGTAATTGTGGAAAACAGGAATCCTGGTGTTGTAGAACTTCCACACAAAACTCCCATGTACTGTAACATGGCCTGTCATGACACACAACAGTTTAAGGTATTCATAACTGTTCACAACTGACTAAAGGACTTGTGTATTCTTATGACAAGAAACCATTGTATTTCATGAACTGTCATGAATTCAAACCAATAGATTCTACAAAATAACCCCTGGTTCAACTTAAGGGGCGGGTTTAGTATTTTATTGCAAGA